AAGTAGTTCAAACACATTTCCAACCTCCACGGGCAGCTGTTTGCTCTCGCACGAGCATGTCCCACATGTCTCTGTTCACAGACACGGTGTCACTCTTCCTTCGGGCCTTCCTAGCTGCCTACATGTTGGTAGTTATAAAGCAGGCTAGCCCTGCAGAAGGGACGCTGTGTTTTTGAAAGTAGAGTCATGGAGCAGCTGTTTGAAAATAAGACTGCTTTTTTGGAGATGTTGTTTGTTTCCGGAAATACTAGCATCTTTCCAGTCTCATGAAAGAAAAAGAAAAATGTTGTGACTTAGACCTTGGCTCTATTCATTTGGCTTTTCCTATCTAACCCACACACCACACTGACAAATACCACATCTGTCTTGACAAACGAGTTCATAAATAACTACTCATTCATAACTTCATGCTGCTGTAAGAATCCTTATTTGTTACTTCATCTTGTGAACAAGAATGCAAAGTTTGGTATTGAGGAAGACACTGAAATGACCACAAGTCCACTGGTCTTTGCAAATCTACGAGGAAGCACTATCTAAAAGAGAATACAGTATTTTTTAATGCATTTTAAGAGCACTAAAATATTTATTGTTGCTAAAACATAGGTGGGAATTTTCTGAGAAGTATAACAATTTTTAAGTTTTGGATTCATTTCAGTATTGGTAATTCAACACTTCTTAGACCAAAGTCCTCTGGGATTATACCCTCTATATCATACATAGCAGTAGCTTTTCCATTCCTTCCATTTGGGGGCTTTATTCTTATTCGGTCATTTATTTCCCTATCCTTTGACTTAATCTTATTGTCACTTCTGCTTTGACATCTTAATGACAAAACCATTGAAGTTGTTGCCACTTGCTCTATAATAAACTCTTATAATTAAGTTATTGGCTGAGAAAGACCAAAAGAGGTGGATGACTTATTCTGATTCTACTTTAGAAGGAGGAAAAAAAAAATCACAGACTCAGGACATCTCTTTGCAGAAGATGGATGATTTGGTAAAGGAACTGCCCCCTTGGAAGTCTATCAGGGCTGTCTGTGAGGAAATGTTTCCACGTCCAAGCTTGTACATTGGCATTTGGGCTTCTGGAAGTTAAGGAGAGGGAAACAGACACGGGAAGGTGCCGGACTTCTGACCTTTTACCTGGAAGTAGATGGGTAAAACCAAAGCTGACTTATGGATCTCACCTCAGGTTCTAAAGCAGCAGTTCCCACCCTTAAAAATGTCTGTTAAAAAATCATGTTGATTTGAATAGTAATTTAGTCATTCATTTGTTCTCCTCATAGTATTAAACCTTAGGTTGTTAAGTGTGTTAATGGAAGTCACTGGTCAGATCTATGAACTAAGTCCCAAACAGCCACTGTTTCACCTACTAAACTTGTACTCTTCTTCTCCATAGAATGAGGTATTGGTGCTAGTTTGCTTGGAAAGAGATATATTTTAGAAGAATTTCACTGTCAGAAAATATCACTATCAATAATGAAACTATGTGTACAGAATCATGTCTAATTTCATGAATTCTTTGGCCATAGTACATGGAGTCTAGAAAGAGGGTCTTGAACCAAGCTGACCCCGAGTCACTATACATTTGAGATCAGCAGTTTGCCCTTTCTCAGTAACATTTGCTGGGAATTCTCTAAGTAGAGTAGAAACTCATTGTAGTATAGTGTCGGGGGGGGATGATAGTACCCACTTATGGACTTGTACCATCACGAGAGAGATGTTCATGTGGAGAGCTTGGGAGGAATTGAGGCAGGGACTAATTTGACATGATGTTTACTTGAGCGTTTTTAAAGACATTTAATTCTGCTTAAGATATTGCAGCAAGAATGACTTTCTCTCTCTCTTATACACTTTCACACTACACAAAACTACTACTTACTCACAACAAATAACACTTCTGAGGGGATAATTTTTTTTTTTTGATCCACCTGGTTGAGTTGTTTTGAGGTCAAACGAGATTTTATAATTTTATTTATTTATTTATTTTTCCCCCCAAAGCCCCAGTAGATAGTTGTATGTCATAGCTGCACATCCTTCTAGTTGCTGTATGTAGGACACAGCCTCAGCATGGCCGGAGAAGCGGTGCGTTGGTGCACGCCCGGGGTCCAAACCTGGACCGCCAGCAGCGGAGCGCACGCACTTAACCGCTAAGCCATGGGGCCGGCCCTCAAACGAGATTTTATAAGAGGCCTTTCTAACTTATAAGTCACAAAGGTCTACACCAGTGGTTCTCGGATTTTCCCACGCAAAGGAATCACCTGCAGTTCTTATTATAAACGCAGATTTCCAAACCTTTCCCCTACTTTCCATCCAGACTATTATTCAGTAGTTTTAAGGTGGGCTCCAGAGTCCTGCATCTTGACAAGAAGGCCAGCTGATTCTCAGGCAGGTAGCTCAGAAACACACTCTGGAAACACTGTGTATTTTTCGTTTTGTCGCTTTATTTCTTAGCTGTGTCATCACAGGCAAAAATGAACCCTAACACTTGTATAGTTAACTTTATCTTTTAGTTATTTTGTAAATTATCCATGCAAAATTTTAATTCCAAGACTGTTTCTATCTTATGACTTTGTGAGCAATAGTCTCTCATATCAATTAGTGAGTGCCCAAGTACTTCTGAAAAGTTTTATTTCTCTAAGACTATTAACGTCTCAGATTTTTCATAAGGTTTCACATTTTACAAAGCATTTCACATTTACTCAAAGCCTCATTGATCTGAAAAAATGTATCCATACCACAGTGCCACATCAATCATATAGATTATTGAAAATTGATTTTTTAAAAACTGAAGGTTACATTCTTTGGCCTAAATAATCACTATTAGCATCATTTATATCTCCATCTAATTCATGGTCTTAGCTTCTGAGGCCCTGGATCAGCGCCAGAGCACCCTGTCAACCCTGCTTAAAAACAAACAAATAAATAAAAAAAAAAAAAAAAGGAAAGGAAAGAAAAGGTTTTAATACTGCAGCTTTACAGCAGAGCGAAAGTAAACCAAAGGTGCATATTTGAGAACTGCTTGTTGGAAATTGCGAACGACAATAGTTACCTTGCCTTGTCCCCACACAGACTTCCTTTGACCTGGGTGGCCTGGGGCGAGCTCAGGGATCTGGATTCCATTAATGGAATTGTCCCTCTTCTGCACGACAACATCCACTGGCCTGAAGAAGGTGCTGTTTCCCAGGAAAAGGAGTTAAATCCCCCCAAGAAATGCATAGGGCCATAGTTTGAAGAAAAAGTATCGCTCACCAAGTGACTTACTCTGCATATTCTGCCCTCCTCGGGTAGTGTTCTTTGAGATTTGTATTTAAGATAACTTTCAGCATCTCTTTTTCAAGGTCAGATGTGAATGAGAAGACTTTGTTTGACTTGCTAATCTTGTGACAAACAGTTTATACCCAGTGTAGCTTCCTGTCTTTGCTGACTGGTTATTTGAGGGAATTTTCTCCCTGTAAGACTGTGGGGAAGGCTCTAAAAATAAACAACATGGTTGCTTATTGGTGAGAACATATGTGAGCAGCTGTCAGCTGGTAAAGCATATGGGGGCAACATGATAGCCAGCATGTTGCAGAAACCTGGGTGTTGGGCCTTCATCTTCCATGCCACACAGGCTGTTCGGAGTCTCACATCTTGATTAAAGAGGGTTTTGACTGGAAGATGTCATCCACACAAGTGTGAAAATATATCACTGGGATCTTGTTAGTAGGCTGAATGTTGGAGATGGTAAGTTACAGGGGATGGAAAAAGTCTTCCTCATCCATTTTAAAATTGAGAGATAAAAAGCACAAATTTGGCAAAAAAAAAAAAAAAAGAGAGAGAGAGAGAGGAATCCACAAGGCCTTTGTCTTTTGTCAGAAATTTTCAAGTCAGGTTTGAATAGTGGCAGTGCTACTTCTAGAAGAAACGCCCCAGGTGAATGGAAGGTGCATGGATTTTAAATCTGTGTAAGGAGATAGGAAAGAAGTATATTCATGCCAGGTGTAGAAGGCAATGAGAGATTTGTCTATCAAATAGGTTAGATAACTAATAATATTACATCCCCTGATCACCTTTTATTTGTCAATCTCTTTTAAATATATCATCTCATTTCAATCTGCTGAAAACCTTCAGGGGTAGCATTATGTCTACTTCATCTTATAGAAACAGAAGCTTGAGAAAATCAAGGAATTTGTCCAAAGATTCACAGGAAACCAGTGACAGAGCAGGGGTTTCAATCTACATCTCCTCACTCAAAAATCCTATATTTATTATTGACTCCACCACAGCTAGGATAGTCTTTGAACTATCAGTTCAAACTGAACTCTTCAGTTGGAGGTATTTTGGGGTGTATTTTCTTTTATAAGAATATATCGGGCAATATACCAGATCTAGTTGCCCTTACTTTCCAGAAAACGAAGTTCAAAATTTCAGGATGTAGTAACCATTGTGGAAGATATATTTAATCTGTTCCAAGGAGCCCTCGATTTTAAAACTGTAGCTAAGCTGCCCCAAACCAAGATACATTTGCATGTTTGACTCATTCGCGAAGGAATTTCCACGTGCGGGTTAGAAATGATGACAGGTGGTTTCAAGAAAACTGAAATCTAGGCCAGCCAAATGAAAAACAGAGTCTTATTCTTAATAGGTAGGCTGTCTTTTGTCAAAGGAGGTCAAGCCCTTTACTATTCATCTTTATTATAAGTCAAGGTATTTATTTTACCATTTCAGTATATAAATTGTACATTGTTATTTTAACACTAGAGCGTGTTAAAGGGAAAACTGAATTCAGGAGCCTGACCGCTGGTTAAGGGATGCCAAAAAATGTGGGACTAGAATCCGGAATCCCCCATAGATCCTTAGTGTCTAGTCCTCTGGCCCTGAGTAGCAGGGATCTTATATTCCTGGGGGAATGATAAGTACATTCAGCGAGTCCCCCTTCTACTTTGAGTCTTTGTATAGCTCTGTGCAAGGCATCTCCTCAGTAAAATAGCTAATGACTGTGCTTTTTAAAACTCCTAGCTGTCTGCCCAGTTGTTACAACACCTTCTGGCTCAGTGGGCAGCTTGTGTTCCAGACAGTCCCAGGTGCTTTGTGGGTACCTTGGTGAGTACACTTGTCTGCTTTATACCTCATTTGACATAGCGATAGCAAGCCCATCTTGAGTGTTTGTCTCGTGTGGGGAACTTGTCGGAGGCAAAATTGAATTCTGAAATGCAGCCTTAAAGCTGAACCATCACAAAGGTGCCCCCAAGTTTTTAGTCAGTTTATATGAGAAAAAAACTCATGAATAGCTTTGAAGTAATATGATGACTTGATAGCAATGTGTGAAAGAATGGCTTGTGGGTTTATGAGATATGTGTTCCAGGGGTTCCAGAATGATTTGAAATATTGATCTCCTGGACCCCCATGGAGAACACTTTCTGGAGGGTTAAACAGGGTGGCCAAAGTGTCCAGGGGCCTTTTTGTGTGTCTTATTTGCATCTATGTTCTTATTCCTGACACATAATAGTTGCTCAATTAATTTTTCTTGTACTGAACTGAAGGGGAAGAAGGAGATTTTCTCTCCTTTGATGTTCTAGGGGGAGGCCTGAGGGAGAGTTAGGCTGAAGCCATTATTCGTGAGCTGCACACTGTCATTCCTGGGTTGCATGAGAAAATGGATTGCCGTGGGTCAAGCCTTCCGCAGACAGGACCTGGAGGCCTACCACTTGCTCAGACCGCATAGCCCTGACCCTCTGAACAAGTGCAGACTCCTCAGAGCCAGTGCCACGTGTTAGGCTGGGTGACACCGAAACCAGAGGTCTCACTCCTTTATGATTTGGGACATGAATCAATTGATCCAACTTTATTGAGCACCTACTGTATGATGGGCAGTGAGACCACAGCAAAGAATAAGACTTAGATGATCCTGATACTCAAGAGCTTCAAGGCCCGAGGTGTCTCTGAGCCATGCCCAGGGAGAGAGGAAATGGACTCACAATCCTGGCATGGGTTCACTCTACATTTTTGAGGCCCTGAGAAGGTTTGGATTATTGTGATTCTAAATGTGGGTGGAGGTTCCGGATAGGGACAAAAGAAATGTTTTTATTACCCTGGTAGATGTCTGATTCACTGGTATATCCTAGTCTGCCATTTATCATGCCTAACCTTGCTTCTTAGGAATTAAGGAAAAAAAGTTTATTTACAGTGGCCTAAGCTGGGGTTTCCTCAAAAAGAACTGATTCTATTGAGAATATACATTTTTTTCAGTACAGAAAGCCTCAGAGTGGCTAGAAGCTGCCATGTGAATAAAGAGTGAAAGGTTTGATCCATGCTTTTAAAGTTTCTTTTGTAAGACAGATTATGTTGTGTTTTCAATCTTTAAATTTGTATTTTATTTCACTATCTAAACTAAGGATTTAATTGTCTGATTTTTTTTTGCCCCATTAGCGTTTTGGAAAAGAAAGGGAACAAAAGAAGGAAAACATTTGTTGAATACCCACCAGATCTCTGGTACTTTAGTTGACATCATCCTGGTCCTCTCCCTAGTTGGTGAGTTGAGTAGGGCCAGGATGACGATCCCCTTTTTCAGGGAACTGTGGCTTGGAGAGATAAATTCCTTGTCCTCTATCAGAGCACTAGCTAGCGGCAGAGCCAAAATCTGAACTTGGCTCTGGCCTCGATGCTCTCCACCTGACCACAGAGACCCCAAACGTTTTTGGCCTTCGTTTTGCCTTCCCCTTGGAATCCTGTCCCATTAATTTTATAATTTTCTTACCTACTACTTTCGATTAATTTCCTTTTCACCTTTTCCTCCCATAGTAAACAAGTTGAGAGGCCTACCGTGCTTCTTCGCACGGTTTTCCTTCTCAGACACTCCTTCTCACTTGGGGTTACTTTTGGTCATAGAATTGCTGCAAGCTTCCCTCTTTCTTTGGTGAAAAAACATTGGAAACCCACCCTGATCCTCAGCGAGTCTGGGAAAATCAGGAGTGTCTCCGAGGGCGTGGAGGGGAGATGGGCGCAGGCTCCGCGGAGACTCCTGTGCAGTGGGAGGCTCTTCCGCCCCGCCCAGCTTCCAGGCCTGTGGGAGAACCCCGCAGACCCCTTTCAGATCTTCCATGCAAGACTGCCGAGCAATGGGGCTCTGCATTTTTTTTTTTTTTTTGTCTCTGTTCTTAGAAATAGTAATTGAGTAAAAATGTAAGTGAGCGGATGCCAGGGGGCAAGTGTCCAGGGTCAGGGTGAATTTCTCCATGCTGAGTGTGATTCTGAACACTCGTTAAGCGGAGGCCGGACTGTGCCAAGCAGCTCGAGGGCCATCCCTGTCACCTTGGGTGAACCGCCTCTCCATTCCAAGGAGATGTTGGGAGCGGCTGGAGGGAGCGCGGGGCCTGTGGCGCCTCTTGCTTTTCTACTCACTGTCTAACCTGGGTGTAGTTGATAACTCCATGTTCTGACGCTGAGGATTGGACTGGCAGCTCTGATGCTTCATCAGCTTTCAATAAAATCCGCTGGTGGACGAAATAATCCTTGCTGCTCACAGCCCATGTGGCTGCTAAATTATTTTTCCTTTTTTTTTTTTGACATTCATTTTCCCCCAAAATATTGGTTAAGATGAGGGTAGCCTGCCTGAAAGTTTTCCTAATAAGATAAAAGAATCCAGAAGATAAGCAATAGAGACAGTCTCTCTATCAATGAATGGATTAAAAGTCATGAAGGTGAATTCATTTTTTTCAAGTATTTGCTGAGCAAGAGGCTTTTAAGTAGCTTGGTTAAGATTTAAAGAGCCAGCAGTGGTTAACGTTCTGTGCTCTGCACTTTGGCGGCCCCAGTTGGGTTCCCCAGGCGCGGAACCACACCACTCGTCTGTCAGTGGCCATACTGTGGCGGTGGCTCACATAGAAGAACTAGAAGGACTTACAACTAGAATATACAACCGTGCTTGGGGCTTTGGGGAGAAAAAGAAGGAAAAAAGGGAGGAAAGATTGGCAACATATGTTAGCTCAGGGCGAATCATTCCCTGCAAAAAAAAAAAAAAAAAAGATTTAAAGATGGTGCTTCCAAAGTGTGGCCTGCATTTGTATTTCCCGAGGTGACATAAAAAGCAGATTCCCTGGCCTATCTCATACCTCCAGAGTCAGACTCCCCAGTGTGGGTGGAGCTGAGGAATCTGCACCTTTAAGGAGGCACTGCAGGTTCTTCTGACCTCACTGGAGTTTGCAGCTGCTCTGAGCGGTGGATGCTCTGATTCTGCAGGTCTGTTTACTCACATCCTCCAGTATGGAAGGATTCAGATCCAGCGGGGCCTCTGTTTGATCAGCTGGTCCTGCAAGTGTGGGACCCTGAGTCCACAGCATGGCCAGGTTTTCACCCTGGACTTTCTGTTTTCCCAAATGCATACAGATAGCAAAGTAGATTTGTTGTTAGTCATACATATAACATGCATCCACTGCTCACTATTCACCACAGTGAGGGGGTCAATGAGTGTGCAAGGAAGTCCATTAACCACAAGGGGTGGATGCCTAGTTTGGAAGTTATGCAGGGGGAGTGAACTCTTCCACTCAGGTGCCTTCAACTGGGCAACTGTGGAGTGGGAAGGGGATTTTCCAAACTAGTGTATACATGACATATATTGTATAATGTATAAGTCAATATATAAAGTTGAATTCCCGGAGGTAGTGTTTGGTCAAAGCACAGCCAACCTCTTCATGGCCTGAATCCCATTCTGAGACATTCCAGGGGGTAAGGATCTAGCCAACAGTGGAATGTAAACTCCACTATCTCAGCCAAACTCAGCTTCGAGTAACTGCAATTTTCTCTTTCCAAATAATGTTTTTCTCAACCAGAGGTATTAGAGCAGGTGAAAATCTGAGCCAGCCATTAAAAAGAAAAGTTAATGATAAATTACTTGGTATTGTCTTTGTGTAACCCCATACCTCCTGTTATTCTGATGTTATTTTGGAACCAACCAGTATTTTCAATCCAACCACACTGTATGGATCGTCTATAACTACTATAGTGTCTTTGGCCATCAGACTATTAGAGAAATATCTAGTTCTCCTGCATGGTCTCTATCACTAAACAGCCCACATGGTCTCTACCACTGAAGTATGAAAAGAATGACTGATAGTGTTAATTCTGCTTCCCAACAAGCCTTCAATGAAAAGATCTCTGCATTAACTACAAATATAGGTATAGTTTTAAGATCAATGTCAAATGCACACAGAGAGCATGGGAAGACTAAGGTGAAGACAAGACGTTCTTACGATCTATTAGTTCATTCCACAGTGTTGATTGAATGTCATGTGTTGGGCACCAATCTAGGCGCTGGTCATACCATAGGTGAATAAAACAGCAAAGACTTTGCTCTTGGGGAGCTTCACATTCTGGAGGAGGAAGATGGTTAATTAAAAAAATTAAATAAGAATGGTAGAATTTGATAAATCTTACAGGAGAGAAAAGTAGAGCAGGGTTGAGGAATGGTGAGGTGAGTTGCAATTTTAAATGAGCTGGGCATGGAAGGGTTTGTTGAGAGGGTGGCATTTAATCAGAGACTTGAAGGAGGTCAGAGAATAGCCTGGGGCTGTCTGGGGAAGAGCATTTCTGGTAGAGGGAACAACATGTCAGCTGTTCCTGACATGTTGAAGGATTATCAGAAGTGTCCTAGGAGATGAGATTAGAGAGGTAATGGTGGACAGGTCATGTAGGGCCTTGTAGGCCATTGCAGAGTCTGAAGCTTTTCCTCTGACTAAAATGGGGAGAAGAGTGGTTTTAGCCACAGAGTTCCTGTGGCTGTTAAGGTAAGAATAGTGCCCAGGGTCACCAAGGTCGGAGCAGGTAGTCCAGAGAGGAGGTCTTTGTGATGCATTGGAAGGGCTCTTTGCAGCTGCATTTCTAGGTGAAACTGCACTGTGCCAAGAATTTCCCTTGTGCTGAGTTCTTTCTTTAGCATGTAACTTGATAGGCAGGCTACAGTGGGTTCTGTATGCAGAATATATGTTTTTTTTAAATTGTCTTTAATTAATACTCCTGAGTTATTGGCAACTCACGCCCTTCCTTTCTGGAAAGAAGCTATCTTTGCACCCTTTTGTGTGTGAAAATAACCCCTTGGATCTCCCATC